GGTGGCATGATGGGCCGCATCGACCAGTTCAGCAGCCTGCTCAGGGCCAAGGACCGGGAGGTCTGGCAGCACCTGGACACGCTGGGCGTGAGCCCGGCCTTCTACTCCGTCCGCTGGCTCACCCTGATGCTTAGCCAGGAGCTCGAGATGCCCGAGCTGCTGCGGCTGTGGGACTCGCTGCTCAGCGACGTGGCCCGCCAGGAGGACCAGAGGGCTAGCGGTCCGCTGCTGCACTACACGTGCGTGGCCATTCGGCGGATCAAAGATGGGGCCCTGATGGGACGGGGCCCCAAGGGCGAGTTGCGCCGGCCTAGAGGCTGACACTGGCACACATATCGGCGGTGCGCCTTCACCTGGGGAAGATGATACCGATCTCGGTGGTGGTTGTGGTAACATTCTGGCACCCTTGGTGCCGAAAGATCACCACCAACACCAACATTTGCGATCATCTTCCCCTGGTGGAGGCCCTCACACCCCGTGTTGGCATTGTTGCCAAATTCCAAACCTCCAAGCGTAGCCTCCAACAGTGAATGTTCAACCTTTGACTGCTTTCCTATCCGAAGGCCCCATCCCCCAGGGCCTCATCTTTGGAATCGCGGAGCCGTGGTGATCCTGGTGCGCGACGCGCTGTTGGCTGGAGACTTCGCGGTGTGCATGCGCACGCTGCAGAACTACCCCCCGGTTGCTCTGGGGCAGAAGAGCAAAAGGTACCAATACCGCTACCCTCGCGTCGTTTTTACTTTTGTGGCCTTCTGGGAGGGCCTCGTGCCCACCGCTGGATTCTCCTAGAAATCCTGTGCAGAACGCACCCCAGGAGAGGCCTGGGGAGGAGCGGTGCCAGTACAGTCGGACCGAGGTATACGATCGAGGTCTGTTCGGGGAGGGTGTCCCAGTGTTCTTTGTGTTTGTTGGATGTTCTGGTGCATCCTGGGGCAGGATGATGATGATGATGATGATGATGATGATGATGATGATGATGATGATGATGATGATGATGATGATGATGATGATGATGATGATGATGATGATGATGATGATGATGATGATGATGATGATGAGATGATGATGATGATGTTGATGATGATGAGGAGTGAGGAGGAAGGAGGAGGAGGAGAGGAGGAGGAGGAAAAGAGGGGAAAAAATGGGGAGGGGGAGGGCGAGTGCGAGGCGGAGGAGACAGGCGGAGGCGGAGGCAGGCGGAGGCGGAGGCGGAGGCGATGCGGAGGAGGAGGAGAGGCGTGACGATGAGGACGAGGAGGAGGAGAGGCGGACGAGGAGGACAGGAGGAGGGAGGAGGAGGATAAGGAGGAGGATGAGGAAGGAGGAGATTAGGAGGATGGAATGGACGGTGAGGAGGAGAGAGGAGGAGGAGGAGGAGGAGAAGGGAGGAGCAGGAAGCAGAGAGGAGAAGGAGGAGGCGAGGAGGAGGCGGAGGAGGAGGATGAGGCGGAGGAGGATTAGGAAGAGGAGGATGAGGAAGGATGATGAGAGGAGCGGAGGAGGAAGGTAAGAGTGAACCCTTCTCCAGGGTTGGCTTGGGATTTCCTCCCCCCTTCGAGCAAGGGCGCCAGTTCCAGCCCAAGCCCAGTCCGGCGCCTCAGGAGGGGCAGGAGGGGCGGGCGCGGAGTTGACCTGCCCCTCCCCCGTGCCACCCGCCGCCTGCCCACTCGCTGTTGCCCACGCACACCCTGCCGTTCCTCCTGCCCCTCCTTTTTCCTCCTCCTCCTCCTCCTTCCACCTCTCCTGCTCCACCTCCTCCTCCGCCACGGCGCCGTCACTCTCCCCCTCCCCCTCACTTCTCACACTCCTCCCTTTCCTCCACCTCCTCCTTCCCCCGCTGTCCCTTTCGTCCTCCTCCTCCACCTCTCCTCCTCCTCCTGCCCCTCCTCCTACTTTTCTCCTCCTCCTCCTCCTCCTGCCCCTCCTCCTCCTCCTCCTCCTCCTGTCCTGCTCCTGACCCCTCCTCCTCCTCCTCCTCCCCTCCCTCTCACTCCCACCCCCTCCCCCTCACCCTCCTCCCTTCACCTCCACCTCCTCCTCCCTCCACTACCCCGCTGAGTCCTCTTCCTCCTCCTACTTTTCCTCCATCCTCCTGTCTCCTCTCTCCTACTTTTCTTCCTCCTCCTCCTCCTCTGCCGCCACCTCCTCCTCCCTCCTGCTCCTACCCTTCCTCCTCCTCCTCCTCCTCCTCCTCCTCCGCTTTATCCTCCTCTTCCTCTTCCTCCTCCTCCTCCTGCTCCTGCTCTCGCGCTACAACGCGCCGCCTACCCACTCTCTCTCGCCGCCCGTGGTGGAGGCGTGGTACGAGGCTTCCTGTGGCCCCGTTCGTCGGCCCCCTCCGCCGCGCGCTGGAAGTCTGCACGCCTGATTTGGCACCCGGGAGCTCTCGCCCTTCCCCGCCCCTCCTCGGCCTGCTCACTGGGCTCCCTCCTCCTCCTCCTCCTCCTCCTCCTCCTCCTCCTCCTCCTTGTCCTCCTCCTTGTCCTCCTCCTGTCCTCCTCCTCCTCCTGCTCCTGCTCCTCCTCCTCCTCCTCCTCCTCCTCCTCCTCCTCCTCCTCCTCCTCCCCAGGCGAGCGGCGCAAAAGAAGGGGGGGTCGTCTGCGCCGACACTGGCACGTAGGCTGCCCGTGTGTAAGATCGCGCGCCTGGCCGCCCTCGTCTCCACTTGTGGCTCGACGCGCTGGTGGCCCGTGTAAGTCCTCGCGTGAGGTCTCTACAGTCAACCCGCATAGGCAGGATGGGCAACCTTCCCAAGGGTACCCTTGCATCCTTGCCTCATCGGTCCATCCTTGGCCACTTTCGCTGGTCGCGCCCCGCTCGAAGAGCTTCGAACTGGCCCTCCAAGGCCCTTACATCCTTCTCGTGCGTCCTGATCCCCCGCCCATGCGTCTCCGACACGTAGAAACACGTGTTCGGCGCACTGGACGCTCCTCGGCGCGCCTGGGAGCGCTTTGGAGCGCCCGGGGGCGCCCGGGGGCGCCTCGGGAGCCCCGAAGGAGCGCCTGGGAGCGCCTGGGAGCGCCTGCTGGTGCGGGTCGACTGCCCGTCGCCCCGCGCAGGGCCCGTCCCCTCTTAAGTCGCCCAGGTGCCCGTCGAGACGCTGCTGCAGGCGGCCGCGCGCCTGCGCTCCGCGGACCGCGTCCCGGGCGGCTTCTCCAACCGCGACGTCGCCGCGCCGCCGCGCGCCCGCCCCGGCGGCGCGCCCGCCGCGGCGGGGGGCGCCGGCGCCGGCAAGGCCGCCGCGGGCCTGCCGCGGTCGACTGCACCTCAGTCGGGCGTGTCTCCCTCGACAGGAGGAATGTTGAAAAACAGTCAAAGTATAGCCTGGGGGCGAGTTTTGGTCGATTCTTTCTGGGCCATCCTTGCATATTCTTTGGCAGGTTTTCACTTTTCGTCCAGCATGCGCCTGTGTAGGGGGACATGCCCGACCCAAGACTGCACTCGCCGAGCGCGTTCCAACTCTCGCAAAGTGCGTGCTCTCAGAGGAAGAAAAGGGGTATCCATACCGCCACACTCCGCCCGGTTTCTCCTTTTCGGGCCTCCCGGGGGCTCCTCGTCGCCACCGCTGGATTCGCTGCGAAATCATGGTCAGATTGCACCACGGGAGAGGTCCGGGGAGTAGCGGTATCGGTACCTTCTGGTTCCCCCATGCTTGCAAATGTTTTACAAAAACATGTCTTTCTCTGTGTAATGGACCGTAAGTCCCCCGCGGCGGATCCAGGGCCTTTGCGAGCAGCTACTCTGCGAGTAGCGGAACGCGCTGGTCGATACACGTATAGTGACCGTTCGGGCGGGGCTAGGACGAGGAAAAATCTGTTCAAGAGCATGCCGGAACGCTCTCAGAGCGTTCCAGTTCGCTCTGAGAAGGCCGCGGCGCCAGATGCATCCTCCAGAGCCGCCAGATCTCAGAGACTCCTCGTCCCGGCTTCGCCTTCTTCGCTGGAGTGACCTTCGGTGCGCGCCCAGTGGGGCCCCCCGATCGCCGAGTGCCGTGCGAGAGCGGCATCTTGCGCGCTTGTGTGCTGGTCCTTTCACGGTCACTCTTACCAAGGGTCACTCTTGCGCATAGCCGATGCGGCGGCGGCGGCGCTGGCACTGGCGAGCACCGCGTCAGGGGAGACCATAAACGCAGCCCCAGCGCAGACGTACCCCGGAGAGGGTGCCTCGGGGCCCGCCCGGGGACGCCCAGCGGCTGCGTCTTGGCGCCCACCGTGGCTGGAACCGTGGCCGCTGCGATACCTCGCTGGGGTTAAGTCGTGCCTGTCCCCCTACAGGGGGGTTTTCGACGAAAATTTCGAAATACCCAAAAAATAATGAAAAATAGTCCAAAAATAGTCTGGGACTATTTTGAGAATATTTTTAGACCTTTTTGGGGTATTTTTGGAATGTTTTTCATTTCTCGTCGAAAATCCCCCTGTGGGGGGACAGGCCCAACCTAACACTGGGGGGTACGTCGTCCTGGGGGTGCGCTGGGCCCTTCCCAACCGCGGGCGGCTTCGACGGCGGCGGCGTGCCGAGCGGCCGGCGGCGGAGGGGGCTGCGGCGGTGAGCTCAGCGGCGGCGGGGGCTGCGGCGGCTTCGACGGCGCCGGCCCGGCGCGTGCTGCGGCGACGAGGACGACGGCGACGGTGACCTCGGCGGCTCTTCCCTCGGCGGCTCTTCCCTCGGAGGCCCTCGTCGCTACGGCGTGGCTCGCCCTGGCATGCTGCTCAGAGCGCGCCCCGGGAGAGGTTCGGGGAGCAGCGGTATCAGTACAGTCGGGCCAGGGCATGAGATCGAAGTCGGTTCGGCTCTGCATGCTTGTGGGATGTTCTTGTGCATCCTGGTGGAGGAGGGGGAGGAGGAGGAGGGGGAGGAGGGGAGAGGAGGAGGAGGAGGAGGAAGGAGGAGGAGGAGGGGAGGGAGGAGGAGGAGGGGAGAGGAGAGGGAGAGGGGAGAGAGAGAGGAGGAGGGAGGAGGAGGAGGAGGAGTAGGAGGACATCTTAGTGGCGGCGGCGGCGGCGACGACGGTGATTTCGACCGCGACCGCGGCGGTCACCACGACGTCCTCCTCACCTCTCTCGGGCGCCTGCACACTGGCGGCGTCCGCTCGCTCCCGCGACTGCCGCTGCGCGTGCCAATGCTCCTGCATCTCTGCCGCCCCCCTCCTTCTCCACGTCCTCCCTCCTTCTCCTCCTCCTCCCTCTTCCTCCCCCCTCCTCCTCCTCCCTCTTCCTCCTCCCTCCTAATCCTCCTTCTCCTCCTCCTCCTCCTCCTCCTCCTCCTCCTCCTCCCTCCACATCCTCTCCCTCCACGTCCCCTTCGCACCTGCTCCTCTGGAGGTCCCCGGAGGCCCCGGGAAGCCTTAACAGGCCTCCAGAGGGCCAGCAATGGGGGCCAGCAGCTCCCAAGGACCTCGGTCCTCGATCGTTCTCGATCCTCCCTCCCTCCTCGCTCCTCCCTCGTTCCTTCGATCCTCGCCTACCTCGATCTTCGATCCTCGTCCCTCGATCTTCGATCCTGCCTCCCTCGATCCTCGAGCCTGGATGCTCTTCCGTCCTCGTGGCTCCTGGGACCTCGCTGCTCCCTCGAAGTCGTTCCCCCGACCTGCCGACCCAAATCTGCTCAAAACCAGTCTTCAGTCGGGCGTGTCCCTCTACAGGGGGCAAACTCAAAAATAGTCATTGTCGTGATTTCACGGGTTCCCAATGCCTTCTTGGGGCCCGCCGCCGTTTGATGTCGCTCAAGTCTTGAGTGATGTGGGAGAGGCTCACTAACCACACTCTGACGGGGGTGGTATCGTACCTCACCAGGTGCCCGCAGGCGCCATCGTGTCTTGCGCCGTGTCCTGGGTGCTCGCTGCAGTGCCCTGCCATCCCTCCGTGCGCGCAGGTGGGGCATGCGGTGTGCCCAGCGCCTGCCCGTTGCCTAGCGCCCGCCTGTCCAGCGTGCGCGGCGTGCGCGGCGCCAGAGCCCGCGGCGGCGGCTTCGGCGCCCGAGGCAGCGGCCCCCGCGGCGGCTGCGGCGGTGGCGGGCGACGTCGTGCTCGACTACCGCGCGTTGGCCTCGGGCCTGCTGGGCAGCAGTCCCGCCCGTCGTGGCTGTGCGACGGGCGTCAACAGCCAGAGGTGCTTATAGCAACTGGCGTGGATAAGGTTGTCCTTGACCAGCGCATGCTCGGGTTTCGTGATCGTCGCGGGGGTATTCGGAGGGAAGCCACAGACCTGGTCACCAACGCCACGGAATCATCGAGCAGTTCGGCAGCCTCAATTTGCCCGAACAAGCACCAGCACGCCCGCGTCGAGAGCCACAGAAGCTTCGACGCCTAGCTTTGCTCAGGGAGGATGGCCGAACAACTCGTTCAAGGTATTGTGGATCTCCGTCGCCGCCCAAGGCGTCCGCACGTCGCGCGCTATGCTCGTGAATGCGGGGCCCAAGCGGCAGCCTTCCCAGCAGTGGCCCCTGGAGCCACTGAGGGTGTGATCCGGAGTGGAATGGCCGCTGAGCTTGCGCGCTACACGTACAGAGCGTGTCAGCGCAACGCATGGGCGGATTCACTGCGCTCCATGGACCCGCCCACGTGCCGATGTCCTTACAGTGCTCCCATCTACTGGGGGTGTCCAGGCTGCCGCGAGGAGAGGGAACGCGACCGACCTGCACGCGCGCGCGAGTTCAGCAAGTGCAGGTTCGTGGAATCTGCGCCCGCGCGCTGGCCAACGCCCGCGAGCGCCAGCACGACCTGGAGGACCGCGCCACTCCAGCGACCAAGAGGCTCAGCCACCAGGCGGTGCCGACTTGGGAGCAGCAGACGAGGCTGCTCTAGCACCAGCACCCGCGGGTGCATCTGGAACCAGCTCATGTTCCAGCGCTGGGGCTCAGGGCGCGGTTTCTGGCGACGGTGTCGCCGTCCGTGCCGCGGAGCTCTGCTTCCAGTGATTGTGTTGCCAGACCAGGACTGCGAGGCAGCTCGGTGACGGGGTCAGTGCCGAGAGGGACGGCGCGACGAGGTGCCGACGCAGCGGTCGGCCTCCCGACTCCCTCCGATTCGACTCGCTTCGACGTCGCCACGTCGCTGCGAGTGCTGCGCGGGGACTCGCGTGAGACGCGCGCGCGAGAACTGCGCTGGCCACGCCTGGTGGCGGCGCGCCGCTACGGAGGAGATGGCGCGAGCACTGCGAGCTGTCGACGTTCCCTTATATATCGTCGATCTAATCCCCGCAGTGGCCAACGACAACTGGGAATGCCGTAAGTGGCGACCACTATCTCGCCGTGCCATCTCTACACTCCGCCTTCCAACGCGATTCAATCCGCACGTCGAGTGCGACGTCTCTTGTTGCGAGGATTGCGTGATCGTGCATCTGATCTGTTGGGCCTCGCAGTAGCGCCGCGGCCGGGATATCGCTGCGGAGCATGTGGATCCAGCTGTTCGATGCGATGGGACATCATTTTTGGACGTGTCGTGGAGGATGCAGAGTCGAGGAGTTTAGGTGGATATCAGGACTCCGCGACAGCACGCTCCTTTCATCGAACGACGTGGGGCTATGCTGCGACGAGCGCTTCACGCTGGAACGGAGCAACTAGAGTGCGGAGGTGTCGCTGCCAACTCCGACCCTATGGTGGCGCGCGCGATCTTCGCGTGCAACAGCCTTGCCCGCGTTGGCGGCGTTTCCCGTGCTGGCAGCCGCCCATGCTGCCACCGCTCGAATCAGACGAAGAATGTGGGACATTCGGCGTCTATGACGTGAGTGCTGACCCTCCTGCTGGCGGAGAAGTGTAGCCCAGCCGACTTGCAGTGGCGAGTCCGAGATATCGCATTGCAGCGCGGGATCGAGGCCACGTCCATCTCCCGCGTCAGCCGCGCCGTCCGGACACGCGCGGCGGAATCCGGAGAGGCCCGCTGCGATGCTTGCCATCAGGTGGAGATTCACTGGCCCCCAGCACTGCGGACATGTCTGGCTGGGCGGGCCCTGGGGCCGTAGTGTCTGTCGACCCGGCTTGAGGCGAGGTGGCGCTCAGCTCGAGTGCCGCCGAGCCGACGTTTTCTGCAGGCTGCGGGAGGTCCGCCCTCATCGGTGCCGTCTTCGACGGCGTGGGCACCAGCTTGGTGCGAGCTGGCCTGGCCTGGGGCCGAGTGGATGATTTCTTGGAGCTCATCGCGCCGTGGTCCGGCGCCTAGACCTTCGACCACGCGGGGGGCCAATGGGGCTTTCAG